AAGTTTATTGAGAAACCTGATAACAGTCCCCGACAGCACCCATGTTGAAGTTTCTTTTCCATGTGCTAGTGAATAAAATAATGTGATTAAGGAATCATTCATTCAGAAAGTATTTGAGTAGCCAGTCTGTGCACAGTTGTGGGCACTGGGAGTATACTGGTAAAAAACATAGACAAGGTCCTGCCTTATACCAAGGAGAATCAAACAAGTGAAGGAAAAATGAACAAGAAAATATTATGTGGTATTTATTAGGGATAAGTAAGAAGTTAAAATATGCTGCTGTCTTAGAGAGTGATTAATTATGACTTGAGATGAGGTCGCTTGGAAGATGTCTCTGGTAAGATGATATTTAAGCTGAGATATAAATGGAAAGAAGGAGCTAGCCATGGCAAGGTTAGGGGAAAGCAACCGAAACAGGAGGAACAGACAGGAAGAACATTTTTGTTGTGTTCAAGGAATTTTAAAAAGGAGAGCTTGTCTGGAGCATAGTTTAAAAGTTGGAAAGTTGCCTTAGACGATGAAGAAGTAAACCATGACTAGCCAGAGTTAGGAGTTTGGATTTATTATAAGGCAATAGAAAATTTTAGGGGTGGAAACTTTAGGAATATGGAATAATCGGATTTATAATGTAAGGAATGGCCCTGCCTTAGATAGGGAGAATATATTTTAGTGGCGTGAGAGTGAAGACAGGAAAACTAGTTGGTAGACAATTATAGCTGCTTAGGTGATTAAAAAATGGTCACACGGACCAGGCAGCAGCCAGAAAAGATGGAGAGAAGTCAGTTTTGGGATATGATTTAGAAGTAGGATCAGTCAGATACACTGATGGACTGGGTATAAGAGAAAGAATAGATCCTAGATGTTGAGGCTGAGCAGATGGTGGGGCCATCTACTACAAATAGGAAGATTAATGGGAAGGATCCAAGGGGCGATCAAGAGAGAAAGAGAGAATAAAGTCTGAGATGCACATGAGGCAACCAGATAAAGATACTAAGTAGCAGTTGTATACATGAATTTGAGAAATAATTCAGGGCTTGAAGAAACATTTTGGAGTTTTTGAAATGCCAATGGTGCTTAAAACTAAAATACTGGGTGAATGACAGAGCAAATGTTGAGGAGAAGTGAAGTCCCTGGACTGAACCTAAGGTCCTGCAATATTTAGAGGGCAAAGAGAGGGAAAGGAAACAGCAAAGAAGAGCTCCAGTGAGGTTAAGGAAGAAACCAGAAGCATATGTGTCATTCAAGCCAGGAGAAGAGAGAATTTCAGAAAGGATGGAGGCATCAACTATGTCCAGTAATGCCAAGATCAAAACCAGTGAAAACAGACTCATGACTACACAATTTTGAAACATAAAGGTCATTTTGGAAACAGTGATTCTCAGGTCTTGGTGTATTTCTGCCAAGGAAACTCACTGGGGCTTGTATAGGAAAGAGTGTAAGGTAAGTGGAGACGGTAACAACAGGCAATGCTTTTAAGACTTTTTCTTGTAAAGAAGAACAGAGAAAAGAAACAGCAACAGAAACCCATCAAAATATCATCATATGCATCATAACATGCAATGAACTTTAAAAATCAATGAGATAATTTGGAGTGCCTGGGTGGCTCAGTCGCTTAAGCGGCTGACTCTTGATGTTGGCTCAGGTCATGACCTCGCGGATCATGGGCCCGAGCCTCATATCAAGCTCTTTGCTGACAATGTGGAGCCTGATTGGGACTCTCTTGACTCATTTTTGAGTCAAGTGTGTTGAGACTGGGTATTTACAGAACGATTGCTATAGGAAAGCGGGTTCAAGTAGCAGTTTCAAACACAGGGCCTGGTGCATAAATGTTTAATAGGCTTTTATCAAAATGTATTGAAGATCCATAAGAAAGAGGAAAACAATCAAAATAGTCTCAAAAAGAAAAAAAAAACCCAGAAAGATATTAGATCATTCACTTAATGGTCGTGTGTATTCATTTTAACTAATGGTGGCATTATTTAGTTATTGAGTAACTCAGTGATTTGGCAAATGTTTATCAAAAACCAGGGTGCTAGCCACTGGGATACACCCTGATATGGAACGAAATGACAGTTCTTGTCTTCCAAGAGCTCCAACATTGGCTAGAGACTGGCAAACAGACAGTTTCATGGAAGGTATCATGTTGCCTGGACAAAAGTAGGCATAATGAGTTATAGCAGCATAAAAAATGATGCAGGTTTTAAATATGGAAGCTTTGATGGGTATTAAGAAGGGCACTTGTTATGATGAGCACTGGGTGTTATACGTAAGTGATGAACCACTAAATTCTGCTTCTGAGGGGCACCTGAGTGGCTCAGTCAGTTAAGGATCCAACTCTTGATTTTGACCCAGGTCAAGATTTCACAGTTTGTGGGTTCGACCACTGTGTTGGGCTCTGTGCCGACAGTGTGGAGCCTGCTTGGGATTCTCTCTAACTCTCCCTCTCTCTCTGCCCTCCCACACACCCTTTGTCTCAAAAGAAATAAGTAACCTTAAAAAATAAAATAAAATAAAATAAAATAAAATAAAATAAAATAAAATAAAATTCTATTTCTGAAACCAATATTACACTATACGTTAACTAACTAGAATTTAAATAAACATTTGGGAAAAAATAAAATAAATAAATATGGAAAGTTTGGGAAAATGTCTGTGGTATAATGTTGAACCACATTCTATTGGGGAAAGAAATAGTAAGATTTGAGCAACTATTTTGGTTATTCGTGATTGCTTTTAGTTTTCTGCTCATTAATTTAAGTGTTCCTCATTGTTCACAGGAGCCTGTGACTGTTCCAACTGAATGGGTCAATCGATTTATTTCTGTGGATTTGTGCCAAAGTAGTTCTAAAACACTGACTATAATATGCCGTGAAAGGTAAACAGGAAGTCTATGGTATAGTCGTCATTGAACCAGAGACAGAGGTGGTCCTATGGCCAAGAACCAGTCTTGCTCGGACATTGGTTACATGGAGGAGACTTGAACAAATAAAGTAACACAACAAGGATAATGAAGTCGTGTTTCTCACTGTTGGAGAAGGGGAGTTGGAAATTGGACGGGGGGAATGCTAGACCATTCTTAAGTTTAGATTAGAATGGGAAGTTCTGGAGTAAGCCCGTTGTTTTCAATAGATAGATATATAAAAAATATAAAAGTAAATGCGCACATATAATATATAGGTATATGCATACATATTTCTTAGTTCTTTTTACTAAGAAGACTGAAAGCAATGAGATCTAAGTAGTAATGAATACATGTGGACCCCAGATGCTGGTTTACAAATAACATTTACAAATAACATTCTCCATTAAAAGGAAAGAGGACTTCTTGTAGAAATGGGTGCTTTGGGGCCTGGGGCTACAAAAATACATGTTGAACATGGAACAATTTATTTTGACAGAAAGGAAAAAAAGTGTTCGAGGAATAATAATAATACCTCACTACAAGGATACAGAGGTCAATTTGGAAGGGCTACCACTGGCCAAATAGGGGATAATTTTATCATCCGAAATAATATCATTGGATATTAATCCATTGAACAAAGAAGGAATCTATAAATCTATATTGATATAAATGAATTAATGGGGAGAAAAGAACGTTCTTCCTAATAGTGGCATGTAAACTACTCAATGTAGATGGAGTTATAGAATTATAAAATAACCATCTAATAACCATCATAATACTAACTTATTAGAGTAAGAATCAATGGATATTAAAACCAGTCAGTGAAAGTGTAATGAGAGGTAGGATATTTTCATAGTCTCAGAGTATTTGTTAACAAAGTACAGGAAAACCTTGGATTGAGAGTAACTTGGATTGAGTGTTCTGCAAAACCTTGGATTGAGTGTTCTGCAGCACAAGCAAACATTTCTAATAATTATTAACTTGTTAAAGGAACGATGTCTTGCAATATGAGTAGTATTCGATGCCAAACATCACACGATCACAACTCAGCCCATGTTCCTTTTTTCTCCCTCTCGCTGTGGGACTGTGGGTGGTCATCTCCCATGCTCGGATGCTTGGTCTCAGGTGAGGTGTTTCGCAGAAATCAATGATTTTTCAGAACCGTGGAAGGTGCCCACAGCGGGCACTAGTGTATTTTTTTGTCACTGCAAAGCACCTCTGGACAGTCCTCTGCTTTTCCATGTAAGAGGAAGCTTAGGAATGCTTTGCTTCCTTCTAGGTCAGGCTGCCTGCAGGTATAGACCCTTTCCTCTGCTGCCTTATTGCCAGTTACATCCAATACAGTATATGACAAGAGTTAATTAATGCTGTACTGTACTCAACATCGTGCGAGGGTATTCAACGGCCCCCATGAACAAAAAGTTTGAAAAGAAAGGCAGTAAGAAGGAGGGGAACCTGGGTTACTCGGTTGAGCTGCCTGGCCGACTTTGGCTCAGGTCATGATCTCGTGGTTCATGAGTTCCAGCCCTGCGTCGGGCTCTGTGCGGACAACTGGGAGCCTGCAACCTGCTTCACGTTCTGTGTTTCCATCTCTCTTTGCCCCTCCCTGCTCACACTCTGTCTCTCTCTCAAAAAAACAGAAAAAAAAAGAAAAAAAAAAGAAAAAGAAAGAAGGAGATGATTACGGTGGAAATTAAGAAGGAAATCATCGAGAAGTACGTACGAACGAGGTATGCAAGTGGCAGAAATTGCAAGATCTTGTAAGAAGCCTACTTCTGCATCTCGTCTGCAGAGGAGGAAGAGAAAAAGACAGAGAAAGCCCTCACTTCAGAGGAGATTAGGGACGTGTGTAAAATGTGGGAAACAGTGCAAAATTTTGTAGAAAACACCACCCAAATGAGGCTGTAGCAGTGTGAGCGATGAATCTGTTTAATGACAATGCGATGTCACATGTCTGCGAAATCCTCAAAAGGAGGCCAAAGCAAGTGCCACTGGATAGATTCCTTGTTAAAGTTGCATGAAAAGAAAGATTCCACTGAGCCAATAGATAGCAGTGATTCCGTTAGTGAAAGTGAAAGTTGTCCCGCACAATAACCCTCCTCTCTCTTGCCTCCCTCACACCAGCCACGAAGGTTTTCAAAGGTAAGTGCTGGTTGATTTGTTTATTTTTCTTTATATTTTGCATTTTCTTTATTATTTTGTATCGTATTACAATATTGTAATCATTTTTATATGAATATTTTGGGGTTGTGGAACGAATCATCTGACTTTCCATGGTTTCTTATGGGGAAATTCGCTTAGATATACAAGTGCTTTGGATTACAGGCATGTTTCTGGAACGAATTTTGCTCGCGAACCAGGGTTTTACTATCCTTGTAATTACAAAGGACGACATAGTTACTTTGGAGTGGAGAAGCTAGCAGCTACCAGTTTAACTGTGTAGTCATAGTTTACCTCGCCAATACTGGGACAAATCAGTGTTACATATTTCCTAACAGAACACTGAGAAGATACCATAATTTCTGTGATATTGCTGCCCCAAGTGCATAATCTGAATCTAATTATTAGGAGGAGAGTATCAATGTCAAGTTTCTGATTTTAAAGATATAATGTGGTTATGTAGGAGGGTTTTTTTTTTTCTTTGTTTTTTAGGACATACATACTTAAAAGTATTTAAACTTATAAGGGATCGTGTCTACAAGTTAATTTCAATTACTTCATAAAAAGATCAATACGTGTACATTTAAGATGGAAGAAAGAGTGAGAATAAAAAAGTAAATGTACTAAAATATTAACTGTTGGAGAATCTAGATAATCCCTTGTATTGGAACCGAAACTATCATTTTGCTTTGAATTCTTTGTTACATATGATATATTTACAAAAAAATAAGCATAAAATAAAAGCCCAAATGGCATAGTCTGGTGTTTGCCTGACTCCAAACTGACTTCAGTTATGGTTTTGTTCAGATGTTGGAAAAAGTGAACTCAACTACTTTCTCTCCTTCTAGTAATATGTGGCCCAGTCTGGCTAATGAAATATAAAATATACTGGAAAGCTTTTGGGGAAATCTCCTCCATGAAAACAAGAACCTTTGTGAAGAAAAAATGCGCAGTCCCATGATTTGCTTGCCCTTGGACCCCCCTCTCCCACTGCAGTCTTGCCTCTGAATGTACCTGCTTCAAGTATGTGATACTTGGGACGGTTGCAGGCCACGGGGCAGTCATGAGATCACACGAATCTTTGAAATGCTAATGCTGAGCGCTAATATCACTGGCCACTAAATCAACATTAGTAGCCATTATGTATTTGCAGACTTCTTGTTATTGCAGAACAATAAACAGCTGAATGGAGGCTATGTGTGTTCGGATATCGTTAACCCGAAGCTGGAGGCGTTCCTAGCGGACCCAAACAGTAGCAACAACCCACATTGACTTCCACAAAGGAATTGGTGGCACGATGGGAACCATCCCTCCAGAAAAGCATAGCTTAGGGTAGCATCACATAAACATTATGTTGGATTTCCGTAGAAAAGGATCAGTTTGCTTATTAATATGTGGGTTCGTAACCGCAAGGATTGGTTAGAATTTGCACGAAAACAGAAAGGCATTTTGTCTACTTCCATCTCTGCTTTAAAATGTTGTGGGCATTCTGAGCACTTTATAAAAACTGAATCTTAAGAACCCACTGTTTTATGCCTGTACTGTATCTACCCTGTGCAGGGATTTTCAAGAAACACTTCAACATTCCTGTAAAGGACCCCTGGTGCCGGAATATTAGGAATGCACTTCTGTACCAGGATGTGGTCATCTGTTAAGACAAAAATGTTTTTACTGAATTTTTATGAATTCATTTTCCCTCCTCTCATTTTTTGGGTATATTTCACATAAACTTAAACCATTCTATGTTTTCAAATACTCAGTTAAAGCATCAGACCTAACATGGTTTATTTTAAGGATTCACATAATCCAGGAGCACAAGGCAGGCAACTACTGTGTGGCATCTTGGAACCAGCACAGAAAAACAGAGCAAGTGTTTCCAGTAATAAAGCAAATCTACAAGCAAATTTTCAGTTGAGAAGAAAATGTGGTGTGACCCAGCGCAGTCAATTCTTGTAGAAAAGTAGAGATTCATTTCTTAAGCCAAATATTTTCCCTATCGATACACCTATATTTCGTCCAGCACTTTGCAGCCTCCAGAGACCTTGCAAAACCCAGCATGTGATCTGATCTCCACAACAACCTCACGAGATGGGTGGGAAGTAAGTTATTCATCTTGCGAACAAACAGGTTTACGGAGAGGATGTGATATGGCCTGGATCATGGAGCTGGCATGCAGAAGGGCTGATCCTCAAACCTGTGCTTTATGATGCTGATTCTAGTAAACTTTCCAAATGGAACTAGATTTTGTAATTTATTCACTGTTTTTAAATAAAAGCAGTTAGTATATATAAAGTAATATGACACTTAATGTTCTACACACACACACACACACACACATTGATTTAATTCTCACCAAAAATTATAGTTACTATCATCTAACTTTTATGAATGAAGACACTGAGGCATAAAGAGTTTGAATAATATGAACAAGTTAAAGCAATTACTAAAGGACACAGCTGAGATTTAAACCCAGGGTGTTGGACTCTGGGGTCCGTGCTCTTAGCAATTTCAACATACAGTCTTCTTAACATCTTAATGCCAGTTTCAGGCCTAAAGACATCTTGCTCCCTTTAAAGAATACCCTTCTCTTTCTTCTCTCCGCTCATGCTCTCTTCCTGTTCTAGAATACTAAAGCTGCAGGGAGACCTTAATGTGCTGTAACACTCTTAGTTTATATAGTAATCTGCTCCGTCCAAAATAACTCAAATTGGTTACTTCTTAGATTTTGAATCTGCAAATACCTTCCTGCCTCTTTCTTTGAAGATCTGGGATGGACAACGTAGAAATCCTAGGGATACCATTATTCCTCTCCCAGCATTCAAGACTCTAGTTAGACCTCACTAATGTGTAATTCCTTGTTGTTGTTTTTTTGTTTGTTTGTTTCTGTGGTCCTACCTATAGCAGTTCCCTTAAGCTGATGATGCCAGACGAGTGGCATTGGTCCTCACTCAAGTGAGAAGAATTAGAAGAGAGACTCCAAGAGTAGATGTTGATCACTGTGCCCCTCTCCATGTCCCCTATGGATGGGTGTACTTGACTAATTTAGACTCTCTGTGAGCTTGGGGAACGGAAGCGGGGATGAAAGAATGTGGCTATTGCTTACTCACTAAATGTCTATTGCTCCACGAGACCTGGGAGTCCTCCATAACTTTTATATAATTTCTTCATAAATATGTGCCAGAATTGAATCCAGCTCACCCTTCTCTTCTTTAGGGTTGCTCCATTACAAATTTACAATGCAGATTATCCACTCTTCCTAATCCCTGCATCCTTGCAAGAGTGCCTGTTGCCACATCCCCTCATTTTGCCTCTCTCCCAAAAATCTTGCCCTCTGGCCTCCGAGTTCTTGCTCCCGCAGTATAAGAGCAACCACTGGTCACTGAGTTTCTACTGGGTGCTCGTAAATGAGTATCAGCAAGTTTAATACCTTGTACACAGTTACGCAGTTAGTGACAGAGTCTGGATAGAGGAGGGTTGCAGGTGCCAGAACCCATTGCTAAGTACAGCTTCTCCACTGTCTTCAACAGTTTTTAGGGTTAGCCATTCCGCTGCTTTCCCATTCTCTTCCTAGAATGTTTGTTATACTTACTGCATTTTCCTGAATTCAATTATGAAGACGGCTTTTCAGCTACAGCCCCCTACGGATGCTCAGCTTTTCTCATGATTTAGAGCTTGGTTTTGTGTCCTTCCTGATTCCCACAGCTGTTCCTCGGCATTATTCCCTGGTCTTCTTTTTAAAATGTCAGCCACTTGGAGGTTTTTGCCATTTAACAGCATGGTGGTTTTCATCTATGAACCTCCTGAGAACTTCCCTCGATTGACTGATACTTTGGCATATGGTTCCATGTTCTTCTCTTCAGGCCCTGCTGCTGTCTTTTTTAAAAACACCCTAGGGAGGAGGTGGGTCAGCACTGTTACCATTGTCCAAAAGGCAGAGAATTTGCGGTATGGTAGTGAAGTAAAGTGCTCGTAAGAATCCTCCTGCAAATCCCTTGTGTAGTCTAGACATAGTATTAAAAAAAAAAAAGGCACAAAACAACCATTTAAAAGCACTGGAATGTATCCAAAATCAGACAGAAGCCAGAGGAGAGTTTATTCTTAAGAAACCTCCAACAGTAAATGGTAATGACTGCAAGTTTGTGGCTTAGTTGCTGTAGGGCACTCCCCATGAGTTGGCAGCAGAAACTCAAAAACTTATTAGCTCAAGGTGTCAAAAAACAGAATTTTGTTCTGGAAGAGAACTGGGCCCAGGATCTGACCATTCCTATGTGAAAAGCCTTGGCTGATCATGCACGCTGGCGGTTAGACTGAAGGGACTTAATGAAAATGCAAGCAGAGAGCTGTGAGAACCTATCCTTAAAAAACAGAATTTCACTAAAGGAGATCCATGAGTGTGCTGTTTTTGTAAGTATTATTATTGAAAGCATTTTCCAAATACATAACTCACATAGCAAAAAGCTGAGCCTTACTAGCTTGAGACATCAAAGGACAGAGACGGAGGTGAGCAGAGCAATTAGGGGAAGAATTTGCAAAATCAAGAGAACTGAGAGAAGATGAGTCCGAAAATCTGACTGGGAGCAGCGCCCAAATCTTCACTGACGACAAAATTGTAAACATAAAAGGGACACCCCAAGGAGACGGGACTGAAATAGTGGCAGCTTGAAGCTGTATGAAGTATGCAGTGATTTCAGCTGATATGCACCATGGAAGTGGCATTGTGGTTTGGGTTCAAGCTAGTTAACTGCTGACTTATTAGAACAAAGATTAAAATAATCAAAACAATATAACAGAATACAAAGTGGCTGTATCTGCATCTGAACTATTTTTATTTTATTTTATTTTATTTTATTTTATTTTATTTTACATTTATTTGAGACAGAAAGAGAGAGCGAGAGCAAGTGGGAGAGAGGAGCAGAGGGAGAGAGAGAGAGAATTTTAAGCAGGCTTCATACCCAGCACAGAGCCTGATGCAGAGTTCCGTACCACAACTCTGGGATCATGACCTGAGCCCAAATCAAGGGTTGGATGCTCAACTGACTGAGACATCCAGGCACCCCTGAGCTATCTAGTTTTAAATACAAAATTAGAAGACATACATAGAAATCATAAAATGTGATCCATACTCAGGAAAAAAAGACCATCGGTAGAAATGACATTAAGTGTGTCCATTTGTTATATGTGGCAGATAGGGACTTCAAAGTGTTTATTATGAATACATTCAAAAAACAAGGTTAAAAATATGCTCAAAGAATTAAAGGAAAGAATGATCTTAATGAATGAATGAAAGAATCTCAACAGAAAAGCAGAACCTATGTAAATAAATAAATGGAAACTCTTTAGCTAAAAAATACAAGAACAGAATGAAAACTTTACTAAAGAGACTCAACAGAAGAAAGTTCCGTTAAAGATAGATCAGTAGAAATTACTCCATCCAAAGAACAGACAGGAAAAAGAAAGGCTAAGAAATCGAGTGTACTCAAAGTTCTACCCATGAAAACAATGCCAACTGTTATGTTTGAAAAAAGAGTGACCTTAAAGAAAGGCACCTGAAAATGAGAGAATGAGAGCTTCACTGTTGAGTTTCCCATTTCTGATGGTTGGGAAGGACATAGGCTGCTCTGAGCTGTGGGGACTATCTATACCACTCATTAAGCCTCAGCCTCATTATATTAGAAAGAGTTTGATCAAATACTCTGTGACAACCAATAGATTCAGAAAAAATAAGGCATTTTACGTGTGAAGATTCAGGAAGTAAATTATAGAACTCGTATTATTCAGTGTTGTACAATTGAGTGATTGTAATAGATTGTGTTATTGGCACCAACTTGTCGTTTTTCCCCTTCATTCCTTTAACTCTGCAGTTCATTCATACCAAGGGACATGGTTTGGAGAGATACATTTCTAAGCCTAATCTTGGCATGAGATGTGCTTTGGGCCGAGCAGACATTTTCAGAAATTAAGCAAGCAAAATTGTGAAAAGTGTTTGCATGTTGGGCTTCTTGCTCTTCTGCTGTCACCATTTCTTTGAGAAGGTCATGCTGGGGTTAGCTGGCTAAGTACCAGGAGAAGGATGAGGAACATGAGAACAGAACTGTCTCCTCAGTTAAGTTGCCCCAGTTAAGTGCTCCAGCCAACTCTAAGCTAGAACAGAGGGTCCCATTCAATCTTCAGATGCATGCATGAGGCCAGCTAGG